AGAGGGGAACCGAGAACTGAAAATCGAGCCCTCCGCCCCAGAAGGCGCCCAGGAGGCCCCAAAAAGGCCCCAAGAGGCCCCCAAGAGGCCCCCAAGACGCCCCAAGAGGCGCCCAAGAGGCCCAAAAGAGGCCCCAAGAGGCCCCAAAACGGCCCCCAAGAGGCCCCAAAACTCGGCTAGCCCACAACTGTGCGACAATATGGGCCGGCGGAATGAGCGAAGCGATTAAATAACCTCCAAGAGGCCCCCAGAGGCTCCCAGGGAGCTCCGAGGAGGCCCGAAAAGGCAACCTACAGCGACATCGAGGCGTTTTCAAACTGCCGCATGGGCGAAACGTATGGGGAACATTTCACATGCGCAGGCCCTCTTCCGAGAAACCCACCATTTCTCTGGAGGGGGTGCGGGAGCGGCCCAAAAGCACTGCCGTCAGAGCCTCCTACTTCTGTCGTACTAGTTACCACCCGTCCACCCAAACGGGTTTTCCTGCTGCTCTCCCTCCTACTCCTCGTCGTCGTCGTCCTCCTCCTCCTCGTTCCTTCTCCTTTCTCCTCTTCTCCTCCCCCCTCCATCCCTTTCCATTCTCCTCCATCGTCTTTTTCCTCTTGGCCTTCGCTTCCTCCTCCTCATCCTCCCTTCTCCTCCCTCCCCCCCGCTTCGGTGGGGATCGGGGCCGCAAGAGGAGTACGGCGAGAGGAGGACGACGAGGGGAGGGGCCGAGGAGAGGAGTAGGGAGGAGAAGGGAGGGGAAGGGAGGAGAAAGAGGAGGGAGGGCGAGGAGGAAAAGGAACGAAGAGGAAGAGGAGGCCGCTCTGGACACGAGCGCGCATATCTGACAACATTGCGACAGCCAATTCGCGGATCCTGGTAAGTGCTGGTCCTGGCAGGATCTCGCCAGATGAGGAGGAAGACGACGACGAGGGAACAGGAGGGAGGAGGAGGAGGCGGCAGAGGGGGGAAAGGAATGAGTTGTAGAGGCAGCAGAGGGACGATAGGGAGGACACCATATGATATGAAGTTGAAAGGGTATGTCAATCCACCGTACTTTGCACCTCACCTAGGAAGTTATGCATGGCCAGCACGGAAAACTGCGCTTTCGAATTATCTCGGGCCCGTCCGTGCTTCTGGAAGCGTGGCCGCGCACGCATGTGTTGTTCCCCACGATGCGCTGGACCACGACTGACTCGATCGCGACCCCGCTGATGACGCCAGGCTCCTCCACACGATTCGCAGTTCACGGCGGTTTGGACGGCGATGGAACCGGCCACCGCGCCTTCGGTGTGGTTGAGACGCGCCTCGCCGATGCCCGTGTGGGGGATCTTCTGACACGATTTGACGAATGGGGCTGCGAGCTGTGGGCGCCGCCGCTAAGATCGAACTCTTCGTCAACATCAACCTGTATGCGCTTGTTCGGGGAGCCATTCGCTGCAACACCTTGACACCATGGCACGTGTGGCCGAATCGATCTGGAAGAACTCATCTGGACCAGATGTATGGCCCTCTTTTCCGAAGCCGCCTTGTAGGCAATGCGACAGGAAAGCCTGCACGCACCCAGTCGAAAAAGTCGCCGAGCATGCCAGCGTGGGGTGGGATCCAGAAGGTGTCGCACATCTGAAACGTCTCGTTCAACTGCTGCGACTGGCGCCGCCGTCGTATGGGGATGGATAAGCGGCATCCGCGCGCCGCTGTCAAGGGTTCGCGGCAACCCATACGCCCTCGTGACATCCGCCAGCACGATGAGACCCCTGAGAACAAACGCAAAGCAGGCGATCGCTCAGGCTGGACGGCCAAAGGGCTGCCGCGCGCAATGACATCCCCGAGACGACATGTGTTTCCTCCTGGGTTCGGACATGATGCCTTCAACTCGTGCGCCAACGCGCATGAGATAAACTTTGGCGGATCACATCAAAATCAATACGGATCCGAATTATGTTCGGACTCGTGTTGCAATGGGTCCCGTTTCCGTCCACGCGGATCCGACTGCAGATGTTGTAGATCTGATGTCGGTCTTGCTTTTTTCGCACGGATCCGACTCACACGAAAAGGGTTTGGTTACGAACTGCCGCAAACAGGTCGCGCGCTGTCTCACGGACCCTATCAACCCTCGCCGCAAACGGGTCGCACACAACATGAATCCCGATCTCCTCACCCTCTGGCTGCTGCAGACAAATTCGCCAAACAACGCGCATTTGGTGGCGCCGACGCTTTCTCGCCAACCGCTTATCGCCGCTGGCGCCTCAAGAGGAACACCCTTCGCCCTGCGTAGGTAGTTATTGGCTGTGGCCGTTATCGTCAGAGACTCGAGCTCTTCCGCTGACATCGTCGCCGATCCGACTGCGACTTCGCCTTGCAACGGCAGCTCAGCCTTTGGAGAACCAGTGCAGCCGCCCGAAAGTCGCGAGGCAGTCGCGATGCCTGTGAAGAGCAGGGCCTCGCGACCAATCGCGTGCAATTGCTCAATGACAGTGACAATACAAGTGCGGAGGATTTCCATGACAACACCGATTGGCATGACAATCGGCACACTGCACATGTAGCCCCCCACTGGCGCCATCACAGAGTAATCGCCCCCAGTAGCATCTGGCCGACGCGCAAGATCAAAGCTGGTAAGCTGAGATGGGGGTTCCACTTCTCCACACCATATCACAAAGTATATACATATGGTAAGCACGGACCATGGGTATGTGTACCTGCGCCCTGCTGGAACCCAAAATGCATCATTTGAATCACTTTGATTCTAACCTTCGCCAGTTTGGGCCAAGACATGTTTGGTTTGATGTGACTGATGCGCTCGATCGCGATGCTAAAAACATGTGGCCACATTCCACTGAAGCAAGGACGATTTCGCCCGTGGCACACTCCAAGGGAAACATCTGCCCATGGCCGCCCTCGTCCAGCCAACCCTACTCTTTGTCCCTGCAAGTGCGCCAACCCGACCACTCAGATGACCATGTGGTCAATTGCCACTCCTGCCGACCACCGCGACCACGACCCATTCTGCCGTGGAGAATGGCAACTCCGAATCGTTGCGAGGCGATCCTTGTCCTCCTCCTCCGTCTTCGCTCCCTCAAGGGTGGCACGGGGGGCCGTGCGAATCGCCAAACAAATCTCGAGTGAACACATGCGAGCAAGAGGAAGGGGGAGCACACTTGCTCACACGTGTGGCGCGAGCGAATGGTAGCGAAATCAATACAGGAAGGACACCTGGAGTGAGAGCAAGGCACGGGAGCAAGTGGGAAACTCAGTGTAAGCGGGAACGAAGCCCGGGAAAATACGTTTGGGAACACAAGCATGTCGGCCCACCTTTCTGCCCACCACACCTTCCGCAAACGGCATCCAGCGTGGGTCCTCTGGCAGAGCACTGCTTCGCCTCCGTCCCTGGACCTCGCCAGAGTGAAGTCGGGCCTGACCCTCTACAGGGGGGAGATCCAAAAATGGTCAAAACATAGTCTGGGGACTATTTTTTGACCATCTTTGAGCATTCGTAGTGTATTTCAGTTTTTTTGGGGGTTGTTTCTTTGTTTTATTTATATATATATATATATATAAATATAATATTTGTTCGTCGAAAGTCGGCCTGTAGGGGGACGGGCCCGACCTAACGCCAGGAGCCGCAAGAGGGCATCGCAGGGGGCACCTGCAGGCGCTCCTCCGACGCGTTGGGGAACTCCACCTGTGGCGCGCGGCGGGCGGAAGGCGGCGAGACGTCGCCCGCGAACGGCCCGCGCCACGAGAGACAGCCCCGCGGATCGAGGGGGGCGAGGAGGGCGAGGAGGGGGGAGGAGGGCGATCTGGAGGAGGACGAGGAGGAGGAGGAGGGGGAGGAGGAGGGCGAGGAGGAGGAGGAGGAGGAGGAGGTAGATTAGGAGCAGGCAGGGTAGGAGGAAGAGGCAGGGTAGGAGGAGGGCGGGATGAGGAGGCCTGATAGCAAAGGTGGGGGGGTGTGCGAACTACTATGGGTGCTGACTTTCCTTCCCCCCATCGCTCGCTCCCCCCGGCGCCCCGGAGTGCGGCCCTACATGCATCGGGGACATTGGCCCCGGCGGCGGCGGCGATAACCAGCTGAATGCAGGTCAGATTTCTAAACCCCCTCCCCACACCAGCCTTACCCTACCCCCCCCTGTCGTTGTCGGCGATTTCACGACCACGAGAGACAAGACCCCCCAGGGATAGAGGCGGGAGGCGTGGCGCGGCCCTGAAGGCCCTGCCCCGCGTATCGCCTGCAGCCCTCGAGCCTCGAATCGAACGACAGCCCCTCTCTCTCGCAGGAAAAAGCGGACCTCCCCCCATGGAGGCGGCGCGCGAATCCCGACACCTCGCCTCCCCGCCTGTCACTTCCCTGGCCCGCATGCTTCCAAACCGCGATCCGGCCGCGGCTCGCGTGTTGCGGTCCGGGCCGGAGAGATGCGGCCTCCGGCCGTCACCGTGTGCGCTTCCTCCTTTGCCGACGCGCAGCCGAGGACGTGCCCTTCCTCAAAGACTGATGCGGCCTCGCGAGGCGTCGAGAGCCGAGCCGGAGCCTCTGGTTCTTCTCCTCCTCCTCCTCCTCCTCCTCTTCCCCCTCCTCCTCCTTTACAGTACACCAACGCTGATCGAAACGATCGCCGCAACTGACCTCCACCTGTTCCTCCTCCTCCTCCTCCTCCTCCTCCTCCTCGACACCTTGACGCTGCGGTCGGTTCGTCTGGAAACCGAGACCCTGGGTGCCCCCTGGCCAGCGGTGGAAGAAGCCTCCTACTCCTCCTGCTCCTGCTGACGCTGCTGCTGTTGTTGCTGCTGCTGCTGCTCCTCCTCCTCCTTCCCCCTCAGCCTGCGCCTCCACATCCTCCAAATCTTCATTATTAGTCCCTCCTCCGCCTCGCCTTGTCCGTCGCCGTCACGATGGCTCGCTGGCAGATGTGCCGTCGAGGCCGTTCTCATCGTCAGAGACTCCTTGCCCCAATTCGGCGCAGGGTCGAGAGCTCAGTCAGAGGTCCTCCCCCTCCGTCCTCTGCCTCTTCCCTCCTCCTCCTCCTCCTCCTTCTTCCTGTCCTCCTCCTCCTCCTCCTCTACGTGATGGCAAAATCCTTCCTCCTCCTCCTCCTCTTCCTCCTGCTCGTCCTCCTCAGGCTGAGGAGGACGAGCAGGGGCAAAGTTTGACCGGGATAAAAATCATGCTCGGTTTTTCAAATCACCGGGGGCGCCGCCGAACGGGCCTGCCACGCCCTATCCCCCTTCCTGGGCGCCATCGGCTTCGCGAGAGGAATGTGCCGCCCCGGCCGTGCAGATGGGGCCACGCGCCGCCGTATTTGTGCCCCGCCGCGCGCCCCGAGGGAATGCAACCCAACTCCTTTCACCCCTGAGACCCGACGTCCAGCAAAACAACTTTGTGCCCCACCAAAGGGGGTCCCCCCCAGGCGTAGGTACCCTGCCAAAACAATCACGGAATAACGAAACGAAACAACAAGTGTAAAATCGTCAAATAGCGCAAATACCAGTACCTCTTCGGCCCACGCAACACCGCGAAACAATATGCCCGAGAAAACATTCGGAAAATAACGACGCCCGCGCGCGGCCTGGCGACTATTCCCCGCGCCGCCCCGTCCACCTGTCCCAGATCCTTGGATAACCACCTAAAAACCTTGCCACCCCCTAGTAAGTCGCGCCGAAATAACCGTAAAGAAAACCCCGGAAAGTCTTCGGAAGGCCCCCGCACCACGCAATATCCGCCACCGAATAATCTGGCGGACACCTAGCGCGCACGCGCCGGCGTCCACCATGGATGCCCAACTCCGGTTTCGGAGACAATCGCGCGCAACCGCCCGGGGGCTTCGGCAACCTCGCGATTGGCCCAGGGGCCCGCGGGCCCCAGGGAATCGAGGACCGAGTTCGCGACTCCGGAAGCATCGGGCGCGGCGCCAGCCAGTCGCTCGTCTCTGGCTGACAGTGGGACGCCGGGAAATCCGGTAAAACCTGAGGAACCGCTTTTCAGAGATTCACAGAACCAGAAAACGGGGCGCGCCAAATTCTCGCGTCCGAACTTCTCTGAGAATCTCTGAAAATCTCTGAACTAGCCACCCCGCGTGAAACGTTCCCATAAACCCAAAACCTCGGAGCTGGCCGAAACTCTCTGAGAGTTTTTCGGCCCGCGAAATTTGGCGCGCCCGGATTTCTGGTTCCGAGATTCTCTGAAATCGGCCTGCGGCGGCGCCCAGCAGGTCCTCACGCGCCGAGGGTGGGAGCCGTGGACATCGCGGGCCGCGATGGTCCCGACCGCGAGGTCCTTCCTCCTGCCCCTCGACGAGTCCACGCTCATGGACACGCTCTCTGCGCTGGGCGTGGACCGCGCCATCCGCCGGTACTTCTGCGCGACGACAGCCAACTGGCCGCCGACAGACAAGGCGATTCTTTTCCGAGCTGCGCGTGCCACCGAAAACGTGCAATAGCCCCGGGCTCGGGGAGAAACACTTTCGAAGCATTTTCAGGCCGCCAGCGTCGTGGCCGCCGACCCGCCGCGCGCCGACCGCGAGACGAGCTGGGCCCACTACGTCCACGGCGGCTGGCGGGCGCCCAAGAGAGCTGTCGCGACGGTGCGCGCGGCGGGGCGCCCGCCCCACTGCAACCGCACATGCGGCCTCCATGGCGCCACAGGCGTAATATGTGTGACGCACTTTCGGGCCCCCCATCAACGCATCGGCCAGCGCCCAAGCCCCTGAAACGCAAACCTACTGCGCCCCCCGTGCAAGCCGCGCACCCGCTCCCAATGCTCGTGCACACCAGCTTTTCTGCCCGCCCTCAACAGTTTAATTGAGCGCCCATGCGTTACTTGGGCTCCTCAAGCCCTCGAGAAGTCCTTGGGGAACTTCTGCGAATGCGCGCGCTGCGCTCCACAATTCGGCGTTCTATTTTTCTTTGGAACTCTCCCAGAATCTCTGGTTCCGATTTGTCCCGATCTTCCGCTTTTCCCTTTTCCCTTCCTCCTCTGTCTCCTCCTCCTCCATTCCTTTTCTTGATTAATCACTCCTCCCTGTCGAGCCACCGAGACGTGTCCGTAAGCCGGGCTGGGCGCTTCGCCTGAGACTTCCGCACCAATCATGATCCTGAAGCTTGAGATCTGCAGCAATTTCAGGGATGGGAACCGGGTGGTTTTCAGAATGAAGCTCTCGCCATCTCGCCGCGCACACGCGTCTTGAACACTTGCACATGTTCAAAGATGGAGGCCAGTCCGTTTTCAAAATATGGCTCTCGCCTGAGCGCCGCGCACATTCGTCTTTAAAAAATGCAGCGCTGTAAGAAAATGGAGGCCGGCTCGCTTTCCAAACGTGGCTGTCATCTAAGCACAACGCACACTTATACGACCCAGCCCTCGCCGTTCTATACAACAAAATATTATGAAGTGCGCATCCATCCGGCCCAACCCTCACCATTCTATGCAACAGAACTTTCTGCTTAAATTCATTCGACTCAGCACTCACCATCCAATGTAAAAAACTTTGTGTTGTTACTGTCCAGAACACATCGATGATAACCAAATACTACACTGCTATACACCAAACTTATTTGGCGCACATCCATCCAACCCAATCCTCGCCATCCGATGCGAACAAATACGGCTCTGAGTGCATCCGTACGATCCAAACTCCCCCACCCAATGTAAAACATATTATTGGGTGCGCATCCATCCGACTCAACCCTCACCATCCCGTGCAACAAATACAAGTCGGTGCGTATCCATCCAGCCCAACCGAATTACATTAGTCATTGCATTCGATACGCATCTGCTGATCCTCAGCATTGACCCACCCCCTGGCCCCAAACAGCCCATGGGCACACAAGGCAAAACAAAAACAGTACATCGATAGCAAGTACATAAGAAACTATACCTTTCGGACACTCCTCGCCGACTCCGATTCTCAACCCGAGCGCTCCCAATGCTGCCCTGGGCCCCAGTCGTTCCACGGCGCCTGCAACTCCCCCCCCCAAACGCGCCCGGGCTCGCCATCGCCACCAGCAGCAACAGCGTCCATATCTTCATCTTCAATGTCCTCGTCGCCGCAGGAATCCCCAAGGAACAGATGAACCCAGTTTGGTTTTCACAGTGGGGCTCTCGCTGTGCTGGCGCCGCACGCCATCGTTCGAGACAACCACGGAACAGATAGAGGGCAAGCCGTTTTCAAGAAGAGGCTCTCGCACTGTGCCGTGCGTACTCGGCTTCCAAATTGTCCTTGGCTGCGCGAATGGATGACGAGTCCTTCCAAGACGTTGGCGGCATTGGACAAGGAACAATTAGATAAGGAGTCCATGCTCTTGAAGCCGATGTAACTTCAATCGCGGATCGACCATGGACATCGCCACCGACCTCATCAGACAAGGAATCCTCCAGGGTCTGCAGCCTCCTCGGCACATTCATTAATGACGCCCACCATCGTATTGAGGTCTTCCCTTGGCCTCACGCACATTCGACTAAAACAAATCCACGACTCTGCGTTCCTCACTGCGCCACTGCAAACACGGATGGAAGGCAATTCCTTTTCGAGATGGGGATCTCGCGTGAGACTTCCGCGAAGCATACGTCCACGACTTTGACATCCTGCAACGCTAGGATGAATAGAGGTTATGTTCATTTCAAGCTAATGCTATCCTTCGGCCTCCTTGCAGGGCTCTCTCGTGGGACTTCCGCGGAACATACGCGCGCG